AAACGAATATAGTAAACTTGGAGACCTTTAGCCTTAAACGAATATAGTAAACTTGGAGACCTGTAGCCTAAATAAATATAGTAAAACTTGGAGACCTATAGCCTAAATAAATATAGTAAAACTTGGAGACCTGTAGCCTAAATAAATATAGTAAAACTTGGAGACCTATAGCCTAAATAAATATAGTAAACTTGGAGACCTATAGCCTAAATAAATATAGTAAAACTTGGAGACCTATAGCCTAAATAAATATAGTAAAACTTGAAGACCTATAGCCTAAATAAATATAGTAAAACATACCATGTCAACTCCATAGATGTTGTCCGAACAGTCGAACATTATGGTGTGACCTTGACCTAAAATAAACAACAAAATTACTAAGGTAACAAAATATATTGCGTTTGAATTTAAAGTTCTGGTTTCATATATTGTCCAGGTCTCTGCTAAGACTAATATCCAAAAGTTTTATAACTCGAATTAGAAGAGAAAAAAAAGCAAAAGAAAAAACATGCACGTTTCTAACTAAAAAAAAACTGCTTCGTTCGTCTAGCATTCGTTGTAAAGAGACAAGTAGAAAACACGGTAAAGTTAATATTAGAAACGAAACATAACATAACCTATTGGTCCTTTTAGACTGTCCCATTCTCTAAACTAAACTAAACCTATTAAATAAAAAATAATAATTATAAAACCCTCAAAGACAGCCCTTATTATTCATATACTTATCAAGCTTTCTCTTAAACTCACTTAAATTTACTGCATCTACCACATCTGAAGGCAACCCCTTTTAAAGGTCAATCACCCTGTTAGAAAAATAAAACTGTATTAGCTGAAGATGACTCGTACCTTGCCAAAATTTATATTTTTGTCCCCTAGTCCTACTATTCTCATTGTTAAATATGAAGAGAGATGATGCATCAACACTATCAATTCCCTTTACAATCTTAAACACCTCAGTCAGATCCACTATAACTCTTCTTTTATCAAGATAAAACAATTTCGGATATTTCAACCTCTCCTCATATGATAAACCCTCCATCCCAGGCACCATTCTAGTAACCCTTTCCTACAATTCAATGTCTTTCCTAAGGTAAGGAGCCAAAGACTAAACACAATATTCCAAATGTGGCGCCCCCCAGTGGCACAGCGGTATGTCTTCGGACTTACAACGCTACAAACCGGGTTTCGATACCCGTGGTGGGCAGAGCACAGATAGCCCATTGTGTAGCTTTGTGCATAACTACAAACAAGCAAACCAAATGTGGCCTAACCAATGACCTGTACACTAGAATTATAACCTCTTTAGACTTGTATTGAATATTTCTGTAGATACAACCTAAAATCCTATTTGCCCTACCACTAGCAACAGCACACTGCTTGGATAGCTTAAGCGATTGATCGTCTATTACACCAAGATCTCTTTCTTTCATGACACTGTTAAGGTTATTCCCATCCAAATTATAATTCAAATTATCATAACCTACATGCATTATCTTGCATTTATTATAATTAAAACC